TATATATATATATATATATATACATACATTACTGGCAACACAAAACATTTTACTCTTACTAATTTTCCTTTCATTGCTCCCTCCCTCCAAAGGGGGTTAAACCCTATCTCTAGTGAGATGAGATAAGCCCAGCTACCTGAAGTTAGTATTTCTACCCAGGTATACTGAACAAAATACCTAAATATTTTAAAGTTAATTAACCGTCTCCACACAGGCCATGGGTCAAAGGCCATGTCATCACGTTTGTTGACTCGCATTCAAAATTTTATTGAACTACTATTTTATGAATTTTTGTCAATAAGTTTGGTATCAAACATTAGATTATAATTCAAATTTTAGTATTACACATTCATTACTTTATTAATTTAAAAGTAAATATAAAAAAAATCATACATTTGGAAACAATTATAGGTAAGAATGTCTGTGATTCAAAATAAAGATGAGTTGGAGAACAAAGACAGAGAAACAGGGGCAAGCTCATTATGTACATGTATTCAATACAATTTTTAACTAAGATGGAGTCTTCCTGGGAAAATATTCCAGGTAATTATGGAGTTTAACAGAAAATCTGTATGTATGTATGTATGTATACATACTCAACTTTCCATCTTCAAACTTACTATCTAAGAGAGCAATTTCTGGCTTCAAGGATGCTGCCTTTAAAACTGGTCCCATCACACAAGGAAGATAAGGCTCAAACTGTTTACCAAGAATCTTGCATATCCTAGCCCAGGCTGATATCATGTAAGATAACTACCAGAATAAAATACATCATTTTGCATAACCAAATCTAGTGTTTTTAAGGGATTACTGCAATATTAAGTACAGTTTTACAGTCCAGTCAGGAGAATATAAAATCTAGATATATTTTATACCTTTAAGAACCACATTTATCAAAGATAATTGCAAAATTACACTATGTGTTTATAATACAAAAATCCCTCAAATTTCACTAACAAAATGAATAATTTGGTAGCTTGTAAGCAATATAAAAAAGTAATTATATCAATAAAATATTTACATAGCAGCACACACTTTAAAAAACAATTATACTTGTATAACAATTTTTTTCACTTAGACTTGAGAAAACCACAAAATGTTTATTTTACTTAATTAAACTCATCAGTAAAAAATTTCATTTTGTTTGTTTTTGCTTAACCATTTTTTTTTGGAGATAAAAACAAATTAAACACTGTAAATAAAACTACTAATAACAATAAAGTAAAAAGTATTTAAATACAATTTATAATTTTACCAAAAATGCTTGACTGACAGAAAAAATATTGCTTACAGTTATATATGAATACAGTAAACAAATACATTTTATGTTCAAAAAATTATTCTAATTATAATTCACAGCATATTTAAATGTAAAATAAATTTGTTAAATAATTAGAAAGTAATGAATACAAGCTTTATTTTCTCTTTAGCCTGTATGAGTACA